GCTGAGGTCGGGAAACCCTGGCTACTCCCAGTCGGTTTTGAGCTCCTGGAGGGCAGAAAATGTCATGCCCATTTCTACATCTTCCTCAGCGCCTGCTGTCCAACAGCCAGTAGTTGAGTGTAGGATTGAATTGCAAGACAAACAGTGGCAAAAGGGGTGGCACAGATATGGTGGGTGGGACCAGTGGGTGGCCGGACAAAAGGCCTGATTGTCACAGAGCGGGGTCACGTGCCTAGCTGCATGGGCACAGGGGCTTCCAGAGAGATGAACTCGGTTTGCAATAACAAAACTGCTTCCTACGCATCCTAACCAGATCAATTTTCCCCCCCTTTTTAAAATTTTTTTTTCTTTTGGGCGAGCGCCAGGAAGGAACGGGGGGCGGTACTAACCAGATCGATTTAAATGCTAGCCATCAAGGGGGCCTTTAAGGGCTTTGTAAAATCGAGCACCCCCCCTCCAGAGACTGTGGCCCAGAACGTGGTCACGGTGAACTGGGCCTGAATTGGGCAATTCCCTGTCTCCTAAAATCTCAAGGATGTCCCTCCCATCACCAACCCCAGGCCAAGGGCTTGGCACCTTCTGATTGCTCAGGAGGCACTAGCCCCTGCTCTGGCCACCAACACTGTGGTCACGCCTCGTCTCCGGCCTCGGTCTCCCCACCTAACACGGAGGCTGCACAGCCAGCCCACAGGGGACAAGGGCAGAGTTCCCAGTGCCCATTCCCACCATCTCTGAGACTCTCCTTAGAAAACACCCAGGGGCCCTCTCCCCAGGACAGTGCCCGTACCCACAGGCCCCAGAGGAAGCCCCCACACCCCAGGCTCCGGGCGCCACCACCGCTCCGGTCCCCAGTCAGCGCCACAGGAGAGATGACTGGTCCTGGAGGCTGCCGACTTCTCCTGCCTGAGGGTGGGTGACAGGTCCAGCCCTGACCGGCCACCAAGGGGCTGTGACTAGTGGGAAGAGGCCACAACATGCTTCGGACCCACAGGCACAAGGAGGAAACCCTGGAGGTGGACGCATTGGCCTCGATGCCCCAGGAGCACAGCCGTGGGAGAGCTGCCGCCCTCTCGGTAGAGGCACCCCAGTCTTCATCCCGACCCCCCAGAAGTCCCAGGCCTGCTTCTCCTTCCTTCCGCCCAGAGCCTCCCCTTTCTCAGTTTATCTCCGTCAGTGGGAGGGAAGGCTGCCCCCTGGTGCTGGTGGAGGTAACTGCACCCGGTCCTGGGGAGGCCCTCACCCCACAGATGCAGCCCTCCCTGCCCCAGCGCACCCCCCAAACCAGCCACACGTGCACACTCCGCAGGCTTTGTAGGTGTTTTTATTATTAATATTATCTTCAACATCCCTTTAAGGGTGAAATGAAATCCAACCATTTACAGAGAAAATGATTTCAGAATGTACATATTGATTTTCCCTTACAAAAAAAATAATGGTGTCCTTAAATTATACCTTTCCTAGGGCCCTGCTACCTGCAACTCCTGTCTCCCCAGGCCAACTGTCACCTGTGTCCCCAAAGCTCCCCACACCTGTCCTGGGGAACGGACTTGACCTGGGGTGGGCTGGGCCTCCTGGAGTCACAGGGCAGGTGTTTCCAGGGAAGGCTGTCTGGACACGCTGACAGGGCCAGTGGTGCACCAGTATCCCATTCACAGTTCGGTTTCCCTTCACATTGGGGGAGTGGCCCAGGGCTCCCGACCCCCCAAATTCCCAGTGTATGATGTGATTATATGCAAAACTCTTCACCCCCATGCTCCGGCCCCCACCCCTGACAGCTGCCATCTCCACCCAATGGCCAGGCCTCCACTTGGCAGGGTCTACGGAAAGGCAGGGCTTGGCTGGTCTGAGCTATGCCTTCTCCCCCTGCCCGAGCTGGTGAGCGGAGGCCAGCCTGGGAAGGGGCATCCGCAGTAGCAGGAGGGAGCCAGGGCCGTGGGGGGGAGGAAGCTGGCAAGGAGGGAGGTTTCTGGGCTGGGGCTCAGGCATGACTCAGGAGCCCTGAAATGACCCGTCCAGGGGTGAGCCATGGCTGCCGACTTCTTGAGCCACCTCTCAGCCCCACGCGGGATCAGAGAGGGGGCTGCTGTAACTCCGAGGGAGCGGGGAGGAGATAGAGCCCCCTCAGCCTTCTTCATTCCTGCCCACCTGAGGCTGCCCCCAGACCACACCCACACCGGGCACTTCCCCAGACAGAGCTGTGGCAAAGGGCGCACCCTCCTCTCTGGCCCACCAGGAGACACCCAGCCAAAGTCCCTGCTGGAGGCCAGAGGGCACTGAGCGGAAAGATGTGGTTGGGGTCGAGAGCGGCTGGAGGTAGTGGGCGCTCAAGCTGCACAGCCCTCAGGTCAGGAGGATTCTCATCTCTTGGACTGAAAGACAGACGGACAGACAGACCCTGCATCCCCTTCAGCCTTGGTTTCCAGGCTCCCCACGGGCTTTTTGCCTCAGTCATGTTGGGGAGCTGCAGGAGGTACGGCCACAGGCCCCAGATCCTGGGAAGTGCCTGGGCCCTGCTCCCACATCCACACACAAGCATCTATGTACAGGGACACACCGACACGGACACATACAAGTACACACAAGCATGCACCCATGCCCATAAATACACACGCGCACCAACATGTACCATTCCACAGCCAGCCTCTGCCTCCTGGCATCCCTGGTGAGCATCCAATGGGGCCTTGGAGAGGGGGTCTCCCCTCCTCCCCAGGACGGCATTCTCACTGCACCCCAGCCCTGCGCTGGCAGTGAGGGGGCAGGAGCAGGTTGTCCCAGGGGCTCCTATGTGAGAGGAGGATCTTATGACTCCGACAGTCATTTCTACCATCTTTCCCAGCCCTGCCCCCCACCTTCCGGGAAGAAGAGAACCAGGCTGAGGCTGGGCACGTGGAGGCCCAGCTTCCCTTGCAGCTACTGTGGTCATGTGACTAAGTCCTGACCAGCACGCTGCGGTCAGCAGCAGCTTTGCCATCTCTGGCTCACGCCGTTGACAGGAAAGGGCGTGTGTTTCCGTGCTTTCCTCTGCTCCCCCCGGGCTCGGATGCACGTGATGGTGGAACTGGAGCAACCACTCTGTCCAGAGCTGGACGGTGTGTCTGAGGAGGCAGAGCTGCCCACTCGACCCAGACCATCTCCCTCTAGACAGTCAAATTAGACACAAGCTTCTGTCTTGCTTAAACCACTGTATTTCGGGGTCTTTCCATTACAGCAGCTTAAAATCTACTTTAACGAATACATCTCCTGCCCCTGTGGGGCACACTGAGAGGCAGGAGATGGCACAGAACTGGTCGTAGTGGCCCTCTGGGGCCCAGGACAGCCTCGGGGCTCTTTTCTGGCCCCTAGCCAACACCAAGAAGGGGTACAGGGTAACTCCACCTGAGACAGTGGAGAGCTGGGGCTGGGGATTCCGGCAGGAAGGGGTGTGGGGCACCCCTGTCTGACCTACTAGGCTGGCTGATGTCCCATCCCACCCTGAGTACTGGACTCCTGGCCTTGCGAGGACCAAGGGGGAGCCCACTAGACGGAAAGATAAAAAGTAAGAAGGGACATCAACGCCAGGTTCAGAACTGAGAGGAGGCCGCCCCCGGCTTCGCCAGCCCCTGCCTATGTCACCTCAGGAGCCTCTGGGGCCCTGAGGGGAGGCGGCTGGAGGTCCCCAGCTCCTGGCCCAGCACTTCCGAGGACACTGGGCCACCTCTCAGCTGGATGCTGTTTTCCACACCCTCCTTCCCTGGCGTCCCCGCTTCCGCCTGGGCCCAAATGCAACTATTTACAGAGCTGGGGACCTCCCGGCATGCCTTTCACACAGCAGCTCCCGCAGGCCACCAGGAGCTCCTGCAGCTCCTTCCCACCCTCCCCAGCCACCCAGTTACCATCCTGCACCCTCCGGGGCACCTCCTGGCACAGCTCGCTTGGAGGGCAGGAGGGTCAGGGTCCCCTCTCACCATGAGGAGTGACGGTTTTTGAGGTCACAGGCCTGACCCCGAGCCACCAGGGCTTGGACAGGGAAGAGTCTCCCAGCATCCACTTCCGGTCCCCTCTCTCAAGACCCCCGAGGTCAGGAGGCAGGAAGATGACAGGAGGGCAGTCGCACCCCTGCCCTGCCACTGGCCCTAAACACCGCGCCACCTTAGCCTTCCACCGCGTCCGACTTGGCCCTGGCGGCGGGCCTTCCCTCCGAGCCCCTGCTCCGCGGCCCCCCTGCGGCCGTGCTCCTGGGCCCCTGGTAGGGGTTGTCCAGCAGGTAGCGGAACTGGTTGTAGTTCTGCAGCAGGTACTTCGGGGCGTACATGTGCTCGCTGGGGTCGGCCGGCGGGTACTCCTGCTGCGTGCCGTCGAACCAGCCCCCGGTGCGGATCAGGCTCCGGATGTAGTTGAGGTCCCGCTTGTCCTCGTAGTCGCCCCAGCGCGGGAAGTCCCCGTTCTGGGCAGACACGAGCTTGAAGTAGATGCCCTCGGGGGTGAAGCACCAGGAGCAGTGCCAGCCGGCGAAGTGCAGGGGGCTGCCCAGCGACCACTGCACCAGGATGTGGCCCGTGCGGTTCTCGTACTGCCGGAAGGCGGGCATCGTGTAGTACTGGCGGCGGCGCAGGCGGATGCCGTCCAGCCCGTACACCGAGCGCAGCATGTCCACCGTGCAGCCCGACACCACCTCCAGGGTGCCCGGCTGCTTCCAGAAGAAGCCGTAGAGGGACTTGCGCATGTGGAAGGCGAAGGGCTCGGTCCAGCCGTCGTAGAGCTTGAGGAAGAGCACGCCGTCGCGCGCGGGGATCTCGTCCGCGTCGTCGATGATGAACACGTCGTCGGGCCGCAGGTTGCGCAGCCGCGCCAGGCCGTCCTGCGTCAGGAAGGTGCGCAGGTAGTCGTCGGCGATCCAGCCGTCCTGCCGCCCGCCCGGCGGGAAGTGGTCCAGGAAGACGTAGAGCACCTTGTGGCGGATGTACTCGAACGTGCCGT